ATAACGAGGTCTTCTGTGACAAATTAAACTCCACAGGGCAGTGAGCATTGGGGCATGGGGTCCTCAGACCACCATCATCAACCCTGATGGTTTGGTAAGATGTTCTGACAACAATGGTCAGCTGGAGGTCACTTTGATCTGATTTGCTCAAAGAGGCAGATACTGTGGCCATTTCTGTGTAAAACCTGTTAAAGGAATGTAATGGTTAATATGTCCATTATAATCAGGTCTGGTAATTATTTTCAATGTTTTTTATTCTTAAGCATTATTACAATATTATAAGTTGTCGTGTATAAATGAAAATTGAACAAACATTCCTCTTCACTTTTAGGCACTTTCAGTTTCCCTATTGTTCCTTTACGACATGTCTGGTTTTTCAGATCAAAACCGTCATGTAATTTTAGACGCTCTGAAGGAAGTGTGGGTGCATCAAAAGAACCTCAGTTCCATGAGAAACAGGTCAAATTTTTTATTTTATTTTATGTTTTATTTGGTTGGGACAGTACATGTTAATGAACACATCACTCCGGATTGTAGCCATGGGTTAATTTGCATCCTTTGTCCCACATTCACACTCACAAACACACACTCATTCAACCTAAACTATTGTTCATGTTTTTAGTGGTAGGGGAAACCGGAGTACCCGGAGGAAACCTATGCAGAAACTCCACTCAGAAAGGCCCTGTTCCTACCGGGATTCAAACCCAAAACCTTCTTGCTGAGCAGCGAGAGTGCTACCCATACACCACATTAATACACATTTCAAATAACATTAGTATAACAATTCAATACACAATGTATATTTTGCCCCTCTGGCATTTAATACAGAAGAGCATGCAGCCTAGAGAGAAAAACAAAATAAATGCAAAGTACACAACAAATCAAATAAGTAAATCAGGATTAAGTGATCCTTTATTTCTCCAACAGTGGGGAACTTTTTTTTTTTTTAAGGGTAACATATATTCCACCATTCTTGTACAAAGATTTTGTGATTGTCATTTTAGTTATCTTTTTATATTATCATACTTTATTTTATTTTGGCCTGAAACGGCGCTCTGTAGTGACAGTGAGCAACACTGTCCTCTAGTGTTCATCTCTGCACATTGCAATGGACAGATGCGGCGCGGGACCTTGTGTATGTGGTTATTAGAGGAAAAATAACTATACAATATAGAATGTACAATTAGAAATAAACACATTTATTTCAAACAAACACGGTTCAAACTTTAATTACTATAATCAAAGGCCCCTAATGTGGCCCAGCTAACCACTGCTCCCAGTGCAGATGGCTCCTCTAGGAAACACTGGAGATAACCAAGGTAAGTTTACAGCACAATTTATACACAACAAGGCAACTGAAAGTGCTGAACAAAACAAGATAGAGACAGTCACACAAAGCATTGAAATAATTAATCACAGTACATTAAAAAGTGTGAAGATAAAATGCCTCAGTTGTGTGCACAGCTAAACAAGTGCTTTTTTTAGTTCATGCATGTTTGGAGAGACCAGAGAGAAGGTCTATACAGTAGTCCAACCAACTGCAGACAAATGCATGGATAAGAATCTTCATGTATGCTTTAGACACTATTTTCTAATCCTGGCAATGTTTTTTAGGTGGCAGAAAGCTGATATTACTGATTTGGTTAATAAAGTTTGAGTCCAGTATTATCCCTACATATCTGACCTGATTTGAAGGTACAGGGAGAGAGACTGGAGGTGACAGATGACAGTCTCTCTGTTTCTGGGGACCAAAGACAACAATTTTGGTTTTGTCTGCGTTTAGCATACTTAAACAACACAACAAAAAATAAAACTTCTGGATCTAAAAGACATGTAGTGCTTCACGGTGGAGAAAACTTTATCAAGCATCTCAGCACTAACCAGGACAAAACTGTCCAGTGTTTCCTCTGGTGAAGACACAGATGTGTTGAAAACAGTATGTGGTGGGATAAAATCTGATTGTATTTATCTTCCTCATGAAGTGGACTGCAAAATCAATCAATAAATCTTTATTTATAGAGCGCTTTTCCTACACAGGATAACACATCCCTCACAAAGTCTGTGGTGGTTAAAAGAGACATGCTAAAATCATGGTTTAAATGGTTGTCAATGTTTGAGAAAATGACCTCTGGATTTTTCTGGTCTTGGATAATTAGTTTTGCAAAGTAGTTGTTCCAATTCTTTCTGATTGTTATGTAGTTTGTTATTTTGGTTGTTGTAAATTTCAAAATGAATTGTCTTTTTTCTCCACCTGCGTTCTGTAATTATTTAATAAATCTTATAGAGTGAGGGTAATATGTTGATACAATAAAATTATTTTAAATATTGTGATGTCACAGGAACATAACCCAATCTTCCATTCTAATAATGTCCTAATTGGGGTTGAGTTATCTGTTCAGAGTAGGAGGTGTTGTAATCACACAGGAAGAAGCGAGAATGGCTTTAACAAGTCACTCCCATTACTGAATTCTACATTACCATTCTGCATTACTACTGACTACACAAGGACAGTGAGGAGGTAAGAAGAAACTCAAAGGGCACCATTTCAATCGCCATGTCTGAGCTACCTCTGATTTTTCGGTATATGTTTTTCGCAACAATATTCTGTGCATTTAAAATATTTCCACTAAATAATTTCTTTGGTCAGTTATGGAAGTAGTCACGACAATTATTACCCATTCTGGCTGCTGGCATGAGTTCATTAACAACACTTTTTGCACAAATTCTTACAAAGCTGGTCATGGACACGATCAGGATAGTGTATGTAGCTGCAGGCATTAAAACCTGATCAAATTCCTTTCTTGTTAATCATTGTATACTTTAGTACTACCAACAGTGAAAAGAGCAGTCAGAAGTATGAATCATAGAGGAGTTTAATAACGTACCACCACTGAATTAACAAAATGGAAAAACAAAATACATACTCAAGGACTTTTGAGCTGTAATGACAAAAGCATAAAGTGACTTGCAAAAGTTTGGGCACTCCTATCAATCTTTATGATTTTCTTTCATAAATCAATGGTTGTTTGGACAAGTTTTCTGTTAATTATATCATATAGGAGAGTAAATATTTTTTATAACATTTACAAAAGTGTGCAATAATTTGTTTAAGTAAATTAGGCATGTGCATAAAATTATCATTTATTTGATTTATTTAAAAAGGGACAATGTACAATTAGATCATACATTTTTCCATTTGATACATTGTATCGGAGTTAGCCTTAGGCTAATTTACATCCGTAGTCCCCCAGCAGGGAAGAACACTCCACGAACAGGTGGGAACAAAGTAGCACAAACATACATACCATAAAAAACACATGTGTATACAGTCAGCAGATATACACAGGGCAGACACACTGTCACAGACGCATTCCCACACACATGCACACAGTAAATAAGCACATGCATAAAAAAATATATATTTTTTTAAGTTAGAATTTATATTAACCTCAAGATATATGTATTCAAAAACATTTTAAATGTTTTTGTCAGTAGTATAAATGTCAGAGTTTGCGCTATGTGCATTGTTTTTTTGAAAAAACATGGCCTTTGTTGTATTAATGTTAAGGCAAAAACAGGATTGATCAAGCCATTGAGCCACAGCCTCCAGGGCTCTGGAGCATTTCTCAGCCGCCAGGTGACTGCTGCTGGCAGTATCATCGACGTACAGTTGATTTTGGAGGCCCTGGCAGTGTTGTGGCAGATCAGAAAGGCTGAAAAGTAAGGGAGCCCCTCAACTTTAACAAGCTTCCCAGTTCTTCCACTGGACACTCAGCCCCACAGTATGATGGAACCACCAGCAAATGTTACTGTTCATCAGTCCACAGTCCCTTATTCCAAAATAAAGCTGGCTTGTCCAAATGAGTTTTAGCATACCTCAAGCGGCACTGGTTATTGTGTGTGAAGAGAACAGGCCTTTCCATTTCTAGAGCATCCCCTTGTGTAAAATGCGCTGAAAAGTCGAATGATGCACAGTGACACCATCTGTAGCTGATGTTATAGGTCTTTGAAGCTGGTCTCTGGGTTGACTCTAACTGTTCTGTGATTTTTCTTGGTCAGCCACTTCATGTCTTAACTGAAACTGTGTCTGTGGTCTTCCTCACAGTTCAAACTAAGTAATCTTTATTTATATACCGACTTTCACAGACCAGAGTCACAAAGCGGTTTACAATTGTGGGCATTTGTCTCTCACTCCACACAGAGGTGGGAGCGGGGTCGCCAGTTCAGGAGGCACATGCCAGACCTATTGTACATGTTTTTAGTGGTAGGGGAAACTGGAGCACCCGGAGGAAACCTAAGCAGACACAGGGAGAACATGCAAACTCCACTCAGAAAGGCCCTGTTCCGACAGATTAGAACCCAGGACCTTCTTGCTGAGAAGTGAGAGTGCCGGGGCAAGATTTAAACTGAAAGCTTAAATCTTGTGATAGCTTTTTGTACCCTTCCCCTAAACCATGACGTAGAGCAATCTTTGTTTTCAGGTCATTTGAGCGTTCTTTTAAAGCTCCCATGTTGCCACCTTTCAGAGAAGATGGAAGAGGGAGGGAAACATTGGCAATTGGCGTACTTAAAATATCTTTTGTCATGATTGGATTCAACTGTGTATGGAGGTCAAGGGTCACTGAGGTTACTAAATCAATTTTGAGTTCCAAAGTGCTGAAGTTATTGAAATCAATAACATTTAAAGGTTGCCTAAACTTATGCACATGCAAAATCTGGTTTAAATCAGATTATGCATGTGCACACTCTGTAAATGATACAAACTTAATTTCACTCAATATCACTGTGTTTGTCTCCTATATGACATAATTAACTGAAATGTCTTTTTCCAATGGTTTATATAGGAAAATCATAAAAATTGTAAAATAAATTCAAAAGCCCAAACTTTTGCATGCCACGGTATTTACTAGCAAACATTGGAAATGTGGATTCGTTCCATGTATTAGACATGGAAGATGTTTAAAATGTAATGCATGTGTTCAGCCCTGACTGCGGCTCTGATGGAGGCAAATCACTCACAGATCACAGAGGTGCCCCAGCTCCTGTCCAACAGCTCGAGCTCATGGCAACAAGAGGCGGTCAAAGGAGCCCAGATCACTGCAACAGTCATCATTTTTTTGGTGAGGACTGTGATTAACAGTTTATGCCAGGGAGGATACCCTTTATTACATCTTTTTGTCCCCAGGTGGGTGTGTTTCTGAACGGGCTGGTGGTTTGGGTGCTTGGACTTCGGGGGAAGCGTCACCTGAGGCGCAGAGGCAGTACAGGGGAGACTCGAGCTGCCAGCAGTTTCCGCGTGTACGTGCTGAACCTGGCCCTGTCCGACCTGGTGCTGCTGCTGCGGACCCCCCTCATGTTGGGATACTTGGCCCATGACAACAGCTGGCCCTTTGGCCGGGTGTCCTGTCTGTTAGTGGTGTTCCTAAGGGGGTTAGGCCTGTATGCCTCGGCCTTCCTGCTCTGTGCAGTGGCTCTGGAGCGCGGCCTGTGTCTGCTCAGACCTGTGTGGGCACGCCTCAAACGCCCCTCCTGGGCGGTCCCTCTGGCCTGTGGCCTCATGTGGGTGTTAGCCACTGTCCTGTCTGCCCCTTACTTCCACACTGCTGTGGTGGTGACTGTCAAAGGGAAACACCAGTGCTATGAGAGCCACCAGTTCAACATGGGCCTCTTTGTCACAGAGACCATGGCAGGCTTCATCTTTCCTCTGCTCATGTTTTTGGGGAGTAATCTAGCTGTGCTGCTGACCATTCACCAGGCAATGCCCCCCACTCCCACCTCCTCTTCTTCCATGGGCCGCAAGATGACGCGCATGTACCATGTATTGTTCGTTACCATGCTCCTCTTCCTCACCTGCTGGGTGCCATACTTTGTGTGCCGCTTCCTGAGGGCACTGGCAGTGGGGCATCCGGACAGAATGGGGCTGTACATTGGAGCGTCTCGTGGGGCGTATGTGTCCTTGTACTTGGTGTACATCAAGTGTGCCCTGAACCCGGTCCTTTACGTGTTTGCAGCTCGAGGCTTGAGCAAAGCGGTCCGAGCTTCACTTGTCTCCACCATCGAGAGACTCTTCAATGACGACTCATCTGAATCTTTACGTCGAAAGTCACTCAAGAACTCGCAAATGTAAACACATCATTTTTATTTTAATGTGAACGGGAAACAAAGCAAACATAAGAAGCGCCCACAAATGTGTAGCGTACAGTCCACTGAGAAAGTAGTTAAGAGATTGAATCAAGGTTTCAGAGGAAAGCAATACACACATTTTGTTCCATGATCTCATGCTGAGGTATCATGATGTGGAGCGAGCCAAAACCCTCTGTGACTGTTGCAACATGTGTCCAATGGTGCAATTCTGTTAAGACACTTTCAATAGACATTTTGTCTCTTTGTTGTGGGTGGATTAGGAGACATCGCTATTGCTCAAGAACTGTGGGGGAAATTGACATAACTGCATATTTTACTATAAATGTATTGTAAAATTACATACTATGTTGTTTAGCATTAATAAACTTTAAAATAGTATTAGGAAATGTGTCATTAAACATACAAAATATGTAATTCAAACATAAGGATATAATGTATATATTTAACAATGTCGTAATTTTACATATAAGATTATGAAACCATTTGTGTATTCTAAAAAGAATGTATCTAAATGCTTAGCCATAGTTGAGCTCAGAGGACCCAAACAATAAGTAATGGTGACTGTGAGTGTTCGGGTTCAGCAGCTCATCCACCTGTTTGTGTGCAAGGGACAGCAGCTCCCGAGCATTCTGGACACTCTCACGGTTCTGAAGAATCTCTCCCAGTTTTTTGGCCAAAGTCTCTGCCTCACCGTCTGGCACTGCTTTTCTCATTTGAGTCTTTGGAAATATAGAAAATTACAGTTAGGGATGTTCGATAGAGTTGTTCTAAAACTTAATATTATAATAATATATGAAACCAAAATGTCTAGAATGTTACTTCATTTTGTTATAATATAAAATTGTGGTACATTATATATTTTAAAAAAATATATAGACGTGAGGCTTACTTCATATTCTATTTCGAACATTAGTTTGTGATCTCTATGAAAACACTTTAATTACGAAACCAGGAGGTTTGCAGCTCTATTAGGACTCTTTTGCTGGATGTAAATGTATTTTGTTGCCAATAACTACAATGCAGAACATTCTGGCCCTTTTCCTGCTTTTCATTTGTTCACAATATTTTAGAAGTTACACAAGAGGATGTATAGATCTTCCTGTTATTTACAGAGGAAATGCCATGTAAGAATCTTTTATGAAATATGAAGTGGTTTATTACAGGTCGTAGGTTTTCACAAACACAACAATAGAATTGTGAGGCTATGCATTATATTTTGTATAATCCAATCACATCTGACCACATTTAGTGCTGCCTTACTGTATTAATTGACCTAAAAAAATATTTGAGAAACAACCAGATTTTCTATGAAATCACGCATAACATTTAGACAATTTATTATTTGGAACATGCTCCATGGGGATTGATTTTATATATTTATTGTATGAGATATTATCACAAATAAAACAATATTTCAATGGAATCAATCCGGAAAAGCCCCTACTTATACTTGTAGAAGATAGTTCGTAAAAATGCAATGGGAATCACAATATGTTTCAGACGTTTTCAATCCAATGCAAACATCCAAAAAGGAAACAAAGAGGAATTTTAAAAAGTCTGAATTAGACATAAAGCTCACCTCTAATGTCATCTCATCTTTGGATGGCCGCAGCGAGAGGTTTAGAACGGAATCCTTTTTCTGAAACATCTGAACAAAGAACATAGAATAAAATCAATGAGTTCAGTTACACTTTCATTTATCCCTAAATGTGTTGTGTGTGGTTTGTGATTGATTATGTGAATATAGGTACATGTACAAATACATTATAAACATTTACTGGTGAATCCAGGGACCTCGCTCACTCTTAGCAGCCAAGCCCTGTGTAAATGCTTATCTGTTTAATGAGATTTAGCTGAGGAAGAAGAGTGTAGTCTGGACCTCCTCAGTTTCTTCCTCTTTGTCTTGCAGCCTGTTCCTCAGAACGCTGCACTGGTGTTCAAGAGAGTTCATCTTCAGTTCATTCTTCTCCAGCGCACTGACCACAGCTTTCAAATTCTCCTGAAAGATTAAAAAATGCATTGTCTGTAAACATTTCCTCACTAAGAACTATTATATCAGACACTGAGACAATAAAAGGAAATACTAAAGAAGAACGTGTAGGAAATAGTGAGTGAGAGACCCCTTTTCCATCTGTGTATTGTATTGTTTTTTTTAAATAATCTTTAGCATTGTCTTTTGTACTTAAATTTGAAAAAAAAAGACTACTACAGTGATGACTGTAGGGTCTCCCAAGCAAATGTAATCTTTTTTTTTCCTTCTTTCTTTCACATTGATTGGTCACAATTTTAATTTTATCGACGGAACATTCATATTTGAACGCTGTAACAATTCACATAATCACAGCAGAACCTGTTATTTAAAACGTATATATTTATTTTCTTTACCTATACTAAAGTTATGCTATCAATTACATACTTCTAATGAGCCCAGAGTTTGCTTCTCTGCGTCTCTTTTCTTGGTTTCCTCATGAAGACGATGAGCTGCAGCTTCAGGTTTCTGTTTGTGACTGGGTACTTTAAGCGTTGAACAGTGATCAAGAAAACTAAGAGACAACAAACAGAACATAAAACAACACCAACAAATACATATGTATACAAAACTAAATTAAAAGATAACAATCACCTTTTTTTCAGAGCATTTAAATGTTCATGAACCTCCTTCTTCTCTGCCCGCTTCCCAATAAGTGTTGCCCTAAATAACAAAAATGTGTATATATAACTTAATTACATCCAAATTATAACAGGATTCATGATCAGGGAATGTTATTCTTACAATATTGACAGATCCATTACTTTCTCCACATCAGCAATAGACGACACAGACATCTGCTTCCAGTTCTCCCTTCCTTTTGTTTTTGAAGGTAGTGAAGAGGCTGTACAAAACAGAAATGATTTTCGTTTAGGAAAAAGGAATTGGCTGTAGTGATAATAAAGTATTCATCTTGACCTTTTCTCTTTCTTGATGTGGTGGGTTGAGTGTCTTCATTCTCAATAGCCTAGTGTAAATATATGTTGTAAGTAGGACCAATTGTAACTTGTACTGGACACCCTCACCCGTTTGTTTACCTCGTTTTTTCTCCTTTTCTCGTTATTCGATTTCTTGCTTTTAGACTTAGTGTTTGGAGCTTTTGTGGCATCCCGATTGGATCCTCTCAGTGGCTTCATATTTGGTCGTTTCGCGTTACTTTATGAATACACGTAAACTACCTCTTTTCTGCAAATAGATTCAGCTAACAAGCGCTAGCTATAGCCTACTTCTGGGAATCGCTTTTCCACACAGATCAAATCAATATTGTTTTTGTTAGTTCTTGGTGTTGATTAGGTCGTAGTTCTGTGCACAAAAAATGAGGTTGCTCAGTAAAAAACAAATCAAATGTCCAGACTGGTTTCGCGCTGTTGTTTGAACATTTTTTTGAGTAACTACGCATGCGTCAACCGGCAGCAGTCGATTTTTCGCCCTCACATTTGTTTGTAAGGCAAAGGAAATATCTACAATCCGAGTTCCACAGTACATTTAAACCGTTCAGTGTTGCAACACAGTGGGAAGAGTAAGGACTTAAACAAATATGAGGCATTCAATAAGGAAACTGTTTTTTTACTTTCGAATGCGCTGGAGACTGCAGCAATCCTTAGTAGCTCTGAAACAGTTGTTTATACGTTTTACAATAGGGTTATCCTGCTACTTGAGACTTAAAGTTCTCCAACGGGGATCAATAAATTATCTATTAATTTATGATTCATAGGTAGTATAACAACACATATAAAACACTAATACCGGCAAAAACGTACAATTTCAATAGTAAGTCTTGGAAAAAAAATCTTAAAGACTTTAGTGAGCAACATTTGAAGAATTTATTTCAGTATGAATGACTACTTTTTTTCTACTTTTCTACAAATTTAGTGTAATCAGTTTGGAAGAGCAATCAATGATTTTGTTTTCTCCAATCAATACAGATTAATGAAATATAAGAAACAATGACAGAATGACCAGAATTATTTTTTGATATTTTTTCATCAATGTCAAAAGCAAATTTTCTCAATATAGATTCCACACAGAAGACATTTATTTGACTGTAATTTAAAACAACCAACAATATAAACATAATTACAATTAAATACAAATGTCAAGGCTTTATCTATTTCAGACTCTGCCTTTAAGGTGAAATTTCCCTGTAAACCGCCCATCGTTGCGCAGGTCAAAAGGACTCAGCACTTTCCTTAGACCCATCATGTTGCCCTGTGCAATTTCCTTAAAAGTCCAGGGATTCTGATTGTTGTGCTCCCTCTCAGCTTGCGCTTTATGTATGGCTTCAAGACTCTCTCTGCTCACCACCTGTTGAAAGTATATTAACAGTTTTTAGAGGTTTTAATAAGTAAACATGTGTGATACAGCAGCTCAGAAGGTAGTGTTAGATATAGAAAAATATTATGAATGTCCTCACCTTGGCAGGGAACGGGAGTTTCTTTGCAACCTCTATTAGTACATGTTCCACTTCCCCTAGCTCTATTTTCCCACCAACTTCTACAATTAAACGGCCGTATTTAACAGGTGTAACATAGTGGTCGATGGCTCCTTTGCCTCCTCCCATACGCTGTCCAAGGCCTTTGCGTGTGACAGGTTTATAAGGCGCATTGATTCGCCACCGGGCAAACATAACTTTAGGATCCATTTTCCGATTGATGGTCAGACGCATCATCTCCATGTGACCCCAGTGAAGGTAGCCTCCACCCAAAGCCTGCACATAGGAAGACAACATGGATTAAATATAAACCAGAAACTAGAAAGTATATAGCTTTACATTATGAAAACCTATTTCACTAAATGTTTACTTACTACAATCGCATATCGTCCTGAGGTAAATGTATTTGCCGCTTTGGCTGGGCCTTGAATATCGCGCAGTTTTTTCATTTCCTTCTTTGCTTTTTTAAAGTTGGGGATCTTATTCAAAAACTTGAGTTTGGGTTTCTCTGGTAAAAATGCCTCTGGAAAAATATGGGAAAAAGAAAACAAGGTGATTATTGTACACTTTCAGATCAAAGTACGATATGATTACCATATGAAATGCATGTGATAGATCTGCAGACTATAAGTGACTTTTTGTAAGCCTACAATGACATTTTTTTAAATTACAAAAAGGAAAAAAAAGCTTGTTGATTGATTAATCAACTACATAACTACATACTTGACCCAAACTGTACCCCTCACTTAACTTTGCAGTCATCACTACATTATTGTAATTGAAATAAAATAGTTTAATAATTTACAAACAACAATTTTGTCAAATTCAATTTATTTTTGTATAGCCTTGAATCACAATAGCTGTTGTTTCGGAAGAATTTACAAAGATCAGACAATCTAACAATAAATGTGGATACATGTCCTGGGTTTTCACTGTCCTTAAAGACTCCTGCATCAGCAAGGAACAAAGAGGAACCAAAACCAGTTTATTTACTACACAATGGGACACCCCTCTGACATTATTATTGCCACATGACTCTTTTGAAGTTAAAGTATAGTTACCGCTGAAGTCTGGGGGGATCTCATATGTCTTTAATCCAGCACTTAATACCTTGAGATGACTCTGTAATAGACCTGAAACAAAAATGAAATCACACTTTAACCAGAGGTGTACAGGTTGGCCCTGAGCTCTTCTGGAGAACATGTCAATTTATAGACATGCTTCTAAATATGACATTTTTTCCCATTGTCAGAGGATGGCGTGAACTGCACATGATTCGCTGTGTAAAACTCACGCCTATGCACTTAGACTATTTACACCTTTGTAACAGGTAGAAACAAAATAAAGCTATGGCCGACCATTTTCACAGAGCGGCACACATATACATACATAATATACCATAAAGAGTTGGTAAGATGGTCACTTTAGCCTCAGTTGTTGTCTTACCATTTTTATGAGCACAGATGCCAGTGAATCCGGAAACAGCGGCTTTGAAAAAGGAAATCATAATTGCAGATTTTACAGATGTGCTAAAGCAAGTGTATCATCATTCTGGCCAATTATTACAATCTTAATCAAATAAAACGACAGTTATGACCATGCTGCTGTAGCTGTTTCGCTACAAGGTCGTGACGAGAGGAAACATCCGGTGGACGACAGACCATTTCCGGGGTGTGATTAAAAAAAAAGAATGAAAAGAAAACATAAACATACAAAGACAAATTGTTAGCTCATGATTTCCAATAAACACCACCTATAATAGTGTAAATTGTATTTTTTATTTTATTTCATATGACAAAAACAGAATAAAGTAGTGACTGACTTTTTAGCCACTATAATATTACTTATGCAAAATGATTGAGGATTACTTCCATAGGAAACATTCATAAATTGCACTAATCAAAAAGAAATGCAATATAAACAAAACAAAGTATTTTAACATGTAATACATAACAAATATAGTTTGTCAACACTAAATGCCATGGTACAGAAGATCATATTTTGGTATATTTCGGGGGTCGATAGGGCTCTGTACAATCATCTTTCCTCTCATGGCGCCACGGTAAATTACTTCAACCAAGTCCATAAAATCCTGCTTGGTTTTAAAGCTTCCCACAAACTTGGTGTGGTCGGGTGACCTAGGAGAAAGGAAGAGTAATAGCATGCATAATGAATAGATAATATAATAGAAAGACAAGATGTTATTTAACAACCTAATTTGGTAGAAAATGGTATAAGTTCATTTGAGAGAAATTAAAGAAGAGGACAAATGACAGAATATATAAGAGAGACTAAATGGTATAGATCTATTCACACTTATTCTGGACTATAACAATACCCTGGAATGAGCTAGCATTGTCCTCTTTTTTCACTATTCTGCCTCAAACAGTTGATCTACTGTGACCGAGGCCAAAAAAATAACACTTGATAATACTTGTTTTAAGATCTGGGAATTATTTGGGTGGATTTGATTACTTCAAATTGTTGTGATTTAATAGCAGTGGGGGTAATGGCATGGAATTTCGAGGAATTTGATCAATCAAAAGTATAGTTAATAAATGTGTTGTGTCTGAAATTTCCCAAATGTGGGACGAAAAAGGATCTCTTAATCTTAATCGTCGTCTAATATGTCATTATGTACAAATCTTACCCATAGTCCACTTTCATGTGCTGCCCATTGAAAAAAAAGACAGTGGAAGGGATGTAGCTTATGTCAAAATATCTGGTGTAAATGGGAACTTTATCGACATCAACGATGTAAACAGACGCCATGTTACTCAAGTCATGAGAAGTTTTGGAAATCTGAAAAAGAAACCATTAAAAGTAAGGTGGCGGATTGTGGTTACATCTTTGTATACTGACAATTCTTGTAAATGCTTACTATCTCATCCAATTGCATACAAACGGAGTCCTCATCTCTTCCAAATCTCAATACTACCACCTTTTCAGCCACCGTTTTAATAACTTCATCTATATCTTTTTTGCAAGACAATTTTGGTAGAAATAAACTCATTCTGGTCAATTCTGTGAGGCTAACAGAATGGATTTGTTGCTAAAAAAAAAACACCGTCGGCTTACGGTACGACGATTCCCCCCCTCCCATCCAAAACCAAAATTTACCCAACAGAATGTACTTTTACTCGTTATTTATTGTAGAAATATATATTGGTTTCTAAAAAACACATACATTTTTAATGATTAACTACAAGGAAGTATAGGAACTTTTGGTTACATTTAAGACAAATGTGAAGAATATCGGTGCAAATAAACCTGGGAGAACAGGATTAAGGAGAAAACTATTTCGTGCATCGGTAAAATAGTCCGGGTAGACACAAGGAAAAACCTTGGTTGCATTCAAATACAATTTAAAAAAAACTCTTCTTGTTGTTAAAATTGTAATTCGTCTATGACAAAATAGCTCAACTTTTAGCTGAGTGAAATACAAGTCCTTTAAAATTGTTGTAAATTCCACTTAGGTTCATTTTAATGTTACTAAGGTTTTAGCCCATGAAACTGGATGCTCGTATGTTCCGCTTCTTCACTACAGCCCAATATAACGACGCACCAAAACAACGTGACCTTTCAATTGGACGTGGCATACAACAAGTCGAGTGAATCTTGAGAAACTCTTTCGTGTTGCAATATCCTCTAGTACTATGTGGGTATCACGGTTAAGTTTATTTGTTGTCTGTCGTATTTTCTGACTGATTAGCCCATAATCACAATGCTGCGTTTGGTTTCTTCCCGGGATTTGTGCTTATTCTTCACGCGAAGTCTTGCAAAGCCACCAGTGAGGTGTTTATCCCTTCCACGAGGTATTCAAAAAGTCAATTTCTTCACTAAAAGCTTGTCCAGGAAAGATACTTCGCTTCTAAACCCACGTGTGTCTGAAGAGGATGATTCTATTGACTTGAACAAATGGAAAACTGTCATGAGATCAAAAGCATCAGCAGAGAAGATGTCTGTGAAGGATGAAGTGGATGATGATGATCATGATGATGGTGAGGAGGAGACACAGGGGGACTTGACACTTGAAGCAACTCGTGAACTGGTGTCAATGTGGAGGCTGGCTGGGAAACTTGTACCCCAAGAAATCACCGATGTTGAGCTCCAAACCCTGGCAGAACTTAAAACTAAGTCGGGAAGGAAGAAGTACCTTAAATACCTGGCTATAAGAGAAGGTCACAAAAAGTCCAAGAAGGAGAAACAGCAGAAAAAGAAGGCATATAGAGAATCCTTGTTGGAGCAAAGAAGTGAAATGGATGGAGACGATCAAAAAGAATTTAAGAATTCTTTAATTTTGCAGTTTTGGAGTCGTTCACTGGACAAGGTGTTGGCCTGGAAGAGTGCCCAAGCTATGGTCTTTGGTCAACCTCTGATTTTTGACATGAGTTATGAGGGCAATATGTCAAATCGTGAGATTGAAAACACTGTGTCCCAGCTTATGGAAGTTGAGGGATGTAACAGAAGAGCCGCTGATCCATTCCACTTACACTTCTGTAATCTGCAGCCGAACAGTTACTACGAACAGCAGCTGCACAAACGCTATGGAGAAGAAACTTGGGAGCGATTGCTTGTAACCAGCACTGACAAGCAACACTGTGAAGTTTTCCCACGAGAACAACTTGTTTATCTTACAGCAGATTCGCCAAATGTTCTTCGCACCTTTGACCACAGCAAAGTCTACATCATCGGGGCCTTAGTGGACCGCTCAATTCAAAAAGGACTGTCCTTAGCGAATGCAAAACGTTTAAAACTGGCCACGGCGCGTCTGCCTCTAGATGAGTTCCTTCACTGGGAGATAGGAGCTAAAAACCTGACCCTGGATCAGCTCATTCGCATCCTGCTCACTATTAAGGACACAGGGAAGTGGGAGGAGGCTTTAAAGTTTGTGCCAACAAGGAAACATGATGGTTTTCATCCTCCCCAACGGAAAGAGACCACATCTCTAACAAGTAAAACTGAAAAAGTAAAGACATTTAAAAGTGGAAGCAATACCAGAGAGTTCACGCTGAATAATTATAAACCTACAATAAATAGAACTAACACTGTGAAAGCCAAAGCAGGAAAATTGGAAGCTACTGGAAAGAGAAACTGGTGGAATGAGGAATGAAGAAAATAAATTGCAAGAACTGATGCTCAAGGACAACAATTGGAAAGCTAAAATAGCTTTTATTTTCAATTTAGCAGTTGATAACACTTGTCATGTGCAAAATAATTAATCTCATGTCACCTCTTTAAATCTTACATTTTGATAAGAATAAAACATTTGAAATGCCTTTTAAATCTCTCAATACAAACACTGCAAGATTTGATATCAAGAACTTTCCATCCCAGCAAGAAATTGTACAGGCTTTCCAATCAACCACAGCCTACACATTGCAGCATAGATGAGGACAAATGGCTCATACAATAAATTATTACATCATTTTTCAAAATTACATAATTTATGCTAGAATACAAAAAGATATTAACAGCATCTTATAAATTCAAGTATTAATATGTTCAAAGCTTTCAACAAGATAATACAGTTTGTTTGAAATAGTTTTTCCTCACCATTACATGTTATCATAAAATAATGTCCAAGTCTATAAAATGGTAACCCAAAGTCCAGTAACATTACAAACATTGATTGGTTTTAAGGCTGCATAGTCACAGCTGTTTTACAGCACCAAGATGTCCCCAGTGCAGCGCTCACAGCAGTTGAAGGTAATGTTTTCATATCGAGTATACGGGTGAAACCTGCCAATACTCTTTTTATTATTAAGAAAGTTAGTGGAGGAATCATCACTTAAAGGCGTCTGAGTCTGTTCCTCAGAAGGAGATATTGGGTCCAAGATCTTAAGTACCTGAAAGAGAAATTCAATCTTAAAACATTCTACTGGCAACTTTTAACCATTTGAACTCTTTCAGACATTTGTTTATGTACCTTCTCTGCCATTTTTTCGGCTGGTGTGCTGCAGAGCTGTTCGGGGTTGCTGTTGCTGCCTTTAGCCACCTTGCTGCTTGTGTTTCCCAGCAGGTGAGAGTTGATGGCGTCTGCGAGTTTGTGGTTGGATGAAGCCAGTTCTCCTGAGCTGAGGGGCTGTGCGCTGGGGTAGTACGTCTGCTCCCGGCCCCACTGTAGGGACACCAAGAGCTGCTCCAGGGATCTGAAGAAGAAACATTAGGAATTGAGATTATTTTAAGATTTATGGCACTGGTTTGTATTGCAGTCAAGAGCTTAAAATACTGTGAAAATAAGTGTTATATTTGTCACAATTGCCCCAGGAGTTAGACAATGAACTAGAGCTGCCTGCCATTATCCAGATAAAACACACCCGGGAGAGGGATAACAGAAATACCAACTTCTTAACTAAAAATAGAATCCTGTGCATTTAAAAATCGAGCTTGGGATTGTGATGACATCTTTCGCATTATTTTGTTTTGTTTTAAGTAACCTAATGGCAAACCAACTTTCACATGCTTTAAGACTGTTAAAGCAATACAATATTTTCCTGTAGTACACAACAGTATTATTTCCATGGCTTTTAATTATCTTGTATATGTTTTGTTTTTAGTCATTGCAGCAAAACAAACATGATGGATTTTCATATTAACAGTTTTTTACAATCTTGTAAAAACTGTAGACACCAAGTTTTATACAACGTCTTGCAGCTGCCTACCATAAACTAACAACAATCCAGTGCTGTTACCTGTGCGTCTGAACCATTTCTCTGGAGAACTCTTCTCTTTCTAGAAGCAGGTCTTGAATTGCTCCTTGTGCCTCTCGTGTTTGTCTCTGTAGAGCCGCTCTGGCATTTGTCAGCTCCTCTGCCATCACTCTGAAACATTAAAATTAAAAACCATAAAAATAAAGGAATTAAAATAAAATGTCCTATACTTTGTACCTGCTGGCGAGGAACTTGCTCCTCCAGACGTCACATTGGATGCTCATGCGTTCCAACTGCTCAGCGGTGTGGGACAGACATCGGCCCAAAGCCTCATTCTCCAGGATCAGCTGGTTTTTCTCTCTGGACAATCTCTCAAACTGATACTGGAGGTCATCGCCTACTGAGGCCACCAACAGCTTCTTCAGCTCACGGTTCACCTATTGAAAGTTGGTATATTGCTCATTTCTATACAAGTTCAAAGATCTACTTCTTTCAGACTCAAAATGTGAATGGGCATTTTAGAAAGGTTTTGTGTCCAGTCCTTTCTCAAATCATTAATTTTCAGAAGCCCCCAGACCAGACAATGCAAGCGTTTGTATATGCATTAATTGTACAAACATGTTCATATATTGTCATATATGACATGTCCTATATTACATTGTAGGTTTTACCAAATTAAAACTTATTAATTTAAGATAACACTAGCGAGTGGTAAAATTAATAACATACAACATTATTTCCTGAGGCATAACTGTTAAAAGATCCACACACATAAAGACACAACATAATGAATGCTGAATAATAATAAACCAATAAAAGCTCTAATCCAAACTACTGTCACATGAACATCTCAACAGGGACTGTGTAACATGCTCCTGCTGTTATAGTGTACAGTGCCTTGCGAAAGTATTCGGCCCCCTTGAACCTGTCAACATTTCGCCACATTTCAGGCTTCAAACATAAAGATAAAAAAAAAAATTTTTGTCAAGAATCAACAACAAGTGGGACACAATCGTGAAGTGGAACGAAATTTATTGGATAATTTAAACTTTTTTAACAAATAAAAAACTGAAAAGTGGGGTGTGCAATATTATTCGGCCCCTTTGCGCTAATACTTTGTAGCGCCACCTTTTGCTGCAATTACAGCTGCAAGTCGCTTGGGGTATGTCTCTATCAGTTTTGCACATCGAGAGACGAATTCTTTCCCATTCTTCCTTGCAAAACAGCTCGAGCTCAGTGAGGTTGAATGGACAGCGTTTGTGAACAGCAGTCTTCAGCTCTTTCCACAGATTCTCGATTGGATTCAGGTCTGGACTTTGACTTGGCCATTCTAACACCTGGATACGTCTATTTGTGAACCATTCCATTGTAGATTTGGCTTTATGTTTTGGATCATTGTCCTGTTGGAAGATAAATCTCCGTCCCATGCAGGTCTTTTGCAGACTCCAACAAGTTTTCTTCCAGAATGGTCCTGTATTTGGTTCCATCCATCTTCCCATCTATTTTAGCCATCTTCCCTGTCCCTGCTGAAGAAAAGCAGGCTCAAACCATGTTGCTGCCACCACCATGTTTGACAGTGGGGATGGTGTGTTCAGGGTGATGAGCTGTGTTGCTTTTACACCACACAAATTGTTTTGCCAAGGTTTCTCACTTTTTCCCACTGGGTTTTTTTAAGAGTTTTTCCTTGTCGTTGCAGGAGGGTCTTGTTGGACAGTTAGTGTCCAACAGAAAGGATTGGTGATGATCAGGACACTTTAGCATTCTACAACATGTATGGACATTTTCTTCTGTGTGTGCTTTATATTTTTCATGTGTTTTAACTGTTGATTCTCTGACTTGTGTTGGTGATTTCAATGGTTTTGTTAAGTCCTCTGAGATGACTTCTGTTGTGACCTAGGGCTATACAAGAATAAATTGTATTGTAAATTGTATTGTATCTCTGATCAGTCTTCTCCTTGTTTGAGATGAAAGTTTGGAGGGGCGGCCGGGTCTTGGTAGATTTGCAGTGGTCTGATACTCCTTCCATTTCAATATAATTGCTTGCACAGTGCTCCTTGAGATGTTTAAAGCTTGGGAAATCTTTTTGTATCCAAATCCGGCTTTAAACTTCTCCACAACAGTATCTCGGATCTGCCTGGTGTGTTCCTTTGTCTTCATGGTTCTCTCTGCGCTTTAAACAGAACCCTGAGACTATCAAAGAGCAGGTGCATTTATACGGAGACTTGATTACACACAGGTGCATTCTATTTATCATCATCAGTCATTTAGGACAACATTGGATCATTCAAAGATCCTCACTGAACTTCTGGACTGAGTTTGCTGCACTGAAAGTAAAGGGGCCGAATAATATTGCATGCCCCACTTTTCAGTTTTTTATTTGTTAAAAAAGTTTAAATTATCCAATAAATTTCGTTCCACTTGACGATTGTGTCCCACTTGTTGTTGATTCATGACAAAAAATTAAAATTTTATATCTTTATGTTTGAAGCCTGAAATGTGGCGAAATTTTGAAAGGTTCAAGGGGGCCGAAAACTTTCGCAAGGCACTGTATACTTCTGAGTGTACTTACCTCTGTTTGCACACGTAACTGGTTGCACAGCCCTTCTTTGTCCTGCAGCAGTCTTCGTTCCGAGTTCTGCAGTTTATCCAGTTGTACTTTCCAGTCTTCCACCAGGGGCAATAGATGCAATCCCTGATCGTCAACCTGTTGTCCAGACTCTCCTCTGCTCTCTGCCGTGGGGCCTCTGTTGCTGCTTCTGCTTATAGCGGCCCGAGGCACCAATATCCTCACTGCTTCTACCTCTGTACATGCCTCTCGACTTACTTTCCCAAAATGTAGCACACCGGGAGGCTGAGGGGAAGGAGGTAGGGATGGGACAGTAGATTTTGGGCTTCGTTTAGGACTCGCTTCTTTTAGAAGTGGAAAAATAGACGAAGTTGGTGAGGGTGGGTTGTCTGTGCTAACTTCAATGGTCGTTTTTGGTTTTTCTGTTTCCATTCCATCTCCAGGACCTCGGATAGGCACTTGAGAGGACACTGCATTGCACAAAAAGAAAAAATATAAGTTAATTACAGAATGGTAGATCCCGGTTCATCAGCTGCGGTGAAGTAAATTGAAGTATGTTTGTATCAGGGCAGTAAAGATGAAACTCGTTTATATTTTGTTTATACCAACAAAAAGAGTATTGTTAAAATAATTTAGTGAAACAATATTGATAAAAGACCTTTTATCTTTTATATACTGGGAGCTGAAAGGTTCTTTCACTAATAAAGCTGATCATGATGTGAAAACTGGTGATGGAACAAAACAGTTTTAAGTAGGGCTGGTGCGATAAAGCAAATAAGTAAAATCTAGATTTTATTTCCTGCTTTGGACAATGTCGATTTTAAATCGATTTTCATTAAAGTCACTCAAGACAGACTTTTCCCTTAAAATATTTGTTATCTTCCCGCTCAATATTTAAGTTTCAAAACTATTTTGTATTTGTTTCCCCAATACATAATATTAAAGTCTAGTACAGACTGTGCTGATATTGCAAGTATAATTGATGTGCTGCTGGAACTCTCACAATATCCCTCATTCGATTTCACGATTTTCACATTTTTCACGAATTCGATTTTTTTCAAAAGCCGATTAATTGCCAAAATTCGATTTATTGCCCAGCCCTAGTTTTAAGAGCTCAAAACTATTCAGATGGATTGTCCTGCATAGTGATTTTTTGTAGTTTCAAAGTTAGGGACACACCAGTTTTTTACTCTATTTACTGCATCAGTAATAAGTGTAATTAGTATATGGACTCTATCTTTAGGGTTAGGAAACTGTTTTCTTATTTTGTTCAACAATATTTTCATTGCATTTTTAAACACAGACATATGGAAGGGAACTGTTTTCTGACAATACATACCCCTCACAGTCACAGCTGTAGTCATGATGGCGAAATCACGGGTTCAGGGAAAAAATGTCCAGACTCTGCAAGTAGATTAGGTTTGTAACAAGCTGATAATAACACGGAAATAATACAATGCACGCAACAAAAGCTAATTTACAACACCATTGGCCGAAGACCACAGATAGAATTGGCTTACTTGGAAATATTTGATCTGAGGCGATGTATTATAGAGACTTAGTGATATGCCTGACACTGACAATAGTTCGAAGCCTGTTTGCAAAATAGCTAGCTTGAATCTATAAAGACATGTTAAAACGTATGTTACTCGATAGCATATCTTCTAAAACTAAAGTACACGGTTAAATGAGCACTAACACACGATATAAAGTAATGTCTTTCTCAATAGTTACCTCAAATAGAAATCTCCGTGGAGCTTTTTCAGTCACAGGACATTGCTGCTTTAACAGGGGTAGATTAAACCCCGTGTTTTGTTTGTCAGGCTCTATTTCCGGCCACCATCTAAAATGTCTAAAATCCAAAATGTCTCTAATAAATTTATTTTCAAAATCGTCTTGTCATGTATGCATTCACTGATCTCTGTATATGTGCGTATAGCTTTAATATATATATTACTTTTTAAATTAAAGACTGAATATATATATATATATATATGATAAGTGCACACGTTTTCTCCGCTGTTTACTTGCATTCCAGTTGGTCAGTCAAAAAATGTGTCCTTTGTTTTTATTGAGTCCAAATCATGTGTTCCTGAAATAATTGTAGATAAATAATTAAACTTTGTGAATTTGCGGAACCTTTTGAGGTGGTAGATTATTTCTACACGGACCAAAATATAGTGAGCACCTCGTCACTTATTGAAGCATTTTAGATACAAGAAATGCCATCATATCGCCATATAAGCTTCTAATAGATTTTCTGTCATGAAATTGAACCTTTTTTAATGAAATATGGGAGTCCACGGACTTTGGAGACTATTGGAAAGTACAGGCAAACCTATCAACCCAGAAACACTGGAAGGAAAGATCCTTGCTGTTGGTATCCTTTGCTACTTATTTATTTGATAATTGCAACCAAACCTATGTTATATTTGATTGTTATATTCAAAAGCTGACTACTAGATGCAGTGCTTTGGTGGACTTTGTCTTGCATGATCCTTAAGATTTTTTCCAGACATCAGTATTTGGCTGAACCAGGCAGTGAAGGGTGTGAGGGACAGACATGGAAATAGTGTTCAAAATGCCCATCTGCTCACCCTCTTCCACCGTGTCTGCAAACTACTGTTCTTCCGCATCAAGCCAGTCTTTGTGTTTGATGGGGATGCTCCCCTTCTCAAGAAACAGACTCTGGTATGTCCTTTGGCTTCAAGAAGTTAGCAGTATTTTACATTATATAACTTGCCTTATGATTTACTTGTTCATTTTTAGGCATTGAGGAGACAAAGAAAAGAGGAGTTAAGTCTAGAATCCAAACAAACCAATGAGAAACTCCTCAGGACTTTTCTGAAGAGACAAGCTCTAAAAGCTGCACTTGGAGATCGAAGGTAAATTATTTCTGTGTTAGGATCTGTCATTGTTGTTCCTATCAAGCAATAGAAATACCTATATTTTTTCTCTTCAACTTGAAATTGATTTGCAGATCTAAGTCAAAGGTCTTCACTACTTTTAGTATTTGACCGCATTCATTTGTTATGGTTTAATGTTCTATAGCCAGGAGCCTTTACCCAGTCTCTCCAATGTTCGCCGAGATGAGGTGGATGACATGTACGTTCTTCCAGCGCTTCCAGCCGCAGAGGAGAGGGAGAAAAGCAGGTATTGTTCAAAACAAAGATCTAATTTTTTTCAGTATTTTGTTGTATGAGAATTATTTCTTCCAGTTCTGAAGAAGAGAATCATGAATCCACAGATGAGGAAGCTCCCAGTACATCATACCAGGTATTGAAAATTTTATATTATCTCATTAGCTCATTGTATTCATTTTTAATTTGGACTTTATTCTTGGCTTTTCAAGGAGGATTTTTATGAGGATCCAAACTCCATGGACATCAACTCAGAGGAGTTTACAAATCTTCCTCCTGAAACGAAGCATGAGCTATTGAAAGAAATGAAAGAGTTTTCTAAAAGACGTCGTACCATGTACCAAAAGCCTCCTGAGGTATGATTCTTACAATTTATTTTTCTAAAATGATTTATATCTACTATTGTAAGTCTGAACATAAGATACATGTTTGTAGCATTCTGGAGACTTCTCACAGTACCAGCTGGCTGGTTTGCTCCAGAGAAATAAGTTAAACCAGCGTTTGGAGGGAGTGGAGAAGGAGATGAATGAGCGCAGTGCAGGCAATGCTCCTCAGATCTATGGAGATCAACAGAGTCGCGATGTTGAAGCGCGAAGGCTGGTCTCTGAGGAACATTCCCACTACATCCTTATTAAAGGTAATAGCAACTCATAAAGCTGAAAAGTGAAGTCTGACTATAAAATTGTGTGAGAAAAGACAAAACTGATTCCAAAATTAATAGTTCTCTAGTTTAGAACTCTATAAACATATTCTAAATATGTAGGAATTGTGTTAATAACTTAATTTGTAGGTTTTTTTGAAAGTTTTTATTTTCTAACCTACAGAATCATAAATGAAAGCATAAAATTGACATTGCAATGTTGGTCAGAAATTTTTCACAGACATTGTGCGTCCGCAGCACTGCTATTCATTTGAACCTGATTTGCTTCACAGGTTCCTCCAAACAGGATAAACCCTCACTCCCTCAGCCACAACCAGCCGTCGCTCCGTGGTCGGGGAGCTCTCTGTCCGGCATCAGGAGTCGAGCTGCAGACAAACCAGAACCCTTGTGGCGTCCTGTCTGTGAGGAGGAGGAAAAACCTTGGGGTCCCGTTATTCAAGACAAAACCAAAGAGCAAAAACCATCTGGGTCAGAAAAGTCTAAAGTTGATTCATTACCTCCATCACCACAAACTCTGGCAGCTATTCAAGCAGCTTTGAATGTCGACTCGGATGAGGAAAGGGATGATACCAATAAGGATGGCAGCGTCTCTCCACGCACTTTGTTGGCGATTCAGCAAGCTATGGCTGAAGAGGAGGGCGGCCGTGACTTCAAAACAACTGTAAAATTAAATGATGTCCCACAAGTCATTATCAACAGCTCAGACAATGAGGCCGAGTCAAGTCTAGTCACGGTCAAATCAAAATTACAACACACGATTTCAAAAGGGCCTGACATTGAGGACAAGCCAGTGAAAGATAGTTTTTCAGTGAGTAGTTCAGATGACGAGATGGGAGATTTAATTTCACAAAGAAACAAAGCCATCAGGTCAGCGGCGAAACCTTGTGAACTTCTTCAAAAGTCTGAAAAGCAAAATGTTAACGTAGAACGAGAGAGGGTAAGAACTGAGCCCATAAATAGTGAAAGTTCAGCAGTAGATTTTATTGGAGCGAGAAGCAGCGTTGAATACTTTGAAATTACTCGCTCAAATACGTCACATGAGCAAGATATTGGGATTTCAGGAGAGGCAAGAAAAAGTGTGTCTCAATCTTTGGTGCCAGAATTGAGTAACGCCGATTTACCTAAACAAAACGACGATAGAAACTCCGTGAAGCCAGAGGAGGAGGAGAGCGAATCTGCTGGTAAACATCTGGGATATTTGTCAACTTAAATGCATTTGACTGTTTCCTTATGTTTACACATTTGATTTTATTCACAGAAAGCTTTGTTGATGTGTCTGATGAAGAAAGTGCAGCTGAAGAGATTGAATCAGCCGATGAAACAATTAAAGTGGCTGAAAATATTGATGAAAGATTTCCAGAGAAAACAAGTGAACCACCAGACATCTCAAAGTCTCCAGAGATTCAAGATGAAACTCGAAAAGAGGAGATCATCGAGGTCCCAGAGAAAACGGAGCCTTCTGCCTCGAATGAATGGGACCAGATGGATATGGTCAGTCTGCAATCTTTTATATACTTAGACTAAAAATACATGTACTCTGATAAGCAACAGGTTTTAATCAAATATTAAAATGTATTGTACAGAGTAGCAGTTTATACAGTATGTTGTTTGTGGATTTATTCCTGTACAATAAGTTATAGACTATAAGGACTAGAATTGTAAGAGGATACATTGACTTTTCTAAATTAAAGCTGGAGAACCTAAAGGCCACAAAAAATAATGATGTATTAAAATCCATGTAACTGCTTCCTTGCTCTCCAAACTAGATTTCAAATGTTTAGATCTACTTTTTCAGTGAAAGAAACTCAGCCAATTGACTCCCAGTATAAATTGTTTTCTAATGAGATAATGACAGCTTGTTGCGGTCGGTTTTGAGGCCTGATGAGAGCCCTTTTACCCTATTTTTATGGAAAGGCTATTCTTAGTATAGTAGACCAATTGTTTGGCCATAATGTCAAATGTGTAACAACATATATCGCAAATGTATATTAAGATGGTTCCAGGTGAAGATGACTGAGTTTGGTTTCAGGCGGAGCTGGAGGCGCTTGAGAGCTCTCTTCATCTGCAGCAGAACCAGCTGAGGGAGCAGAAGCAGCAGCAAGAGCGAATGGCCAACACCGTCACTGGACAAATGTGTTTGGAAAGCCAGGTAAGAAAAACAAAACTTGAATCTATTATTCAGAACAATTTAGCGAAAACCATGCATTCAATGGACAAATTGGCTGCATTATGTGGGTTAATTTCAGCCTTCTAGAGGCTACATCATGTACATTTTTCTACTCTGTCCTCAAAGGGCCGTGTGGCTGCAGATTTTCATTCCAACCAAGCAGGAGCACAGCCAACTTCACCATTTCATCAAGTCTGCAGGACTCACTCACGACTGGACCGAGTTGAATAGGCCTGTTCTTGACTGTGGAATAAATTCTTGAGCAGAGTATGGATGGATAAACATGTAGAACAGAGTGAGAGATGATCAGGATGTGCCAACACTCCGATCTAGTGGAAGGAATAGGAAATGACCTGTAATTAAATTTGATTTAAATCTATACTGGACCGGTCTAAT